GCTGTTGGAGTACCATCTGGCCATAGTGGCTGTTGGAGTACCCTCTGGCCATAGTGGTTGTTGGAGTACCCTCTGGCCATAGTGGTTGTTGGAGTACCCTCTGGCCATAGTGGTTGTTGGAGTACCCTCTGGCCATAGTGGTTGTTGGAGTACCCTCTGGCCATAGTGGCTGTTGGAGTACCCTCTGGCCATAGTGGCTGTTGGAGTACCCTCTGGCCATAGTGGCTGTTGGAGTACCCTCTGGACACAGTGGCTGTTGGAGCCCCTGGCCATAGTGGCTGTTGGAGTACCCTCTGGCCATAGTGGTTGTTGGAGTACCCTCTGGCCACAGTGGATGTTGGAGTACCCTCTGGCCACAGTGGCTGTTGGAGTACCCTCTGGCCACAGTGGCTGTTGGAGTACCCTCTGGCCACAGTGGCTGTTGGAGTACCCTCTGGCCATAGTGGTTGTTGGAGTACCCTCTGGCCATAGTGGTTGTTGGAGTACCCTCTGGCCATAGTGGTTGTTGGAGTACCCTCTGGCCATAGTGGTTGTTGGAGTACCCTCTGGCCACAGTGGATGTTGGAGTACCCTCTGGCCACAGTGGCTGTTGGAGTACCCTCTGGCCACAGTGGCTGTTGGAGTACCCTCTGGCCACAGTGGCTGTTGGAGTACCCTCTGGCCATAGTGGTTGTTGGAGTACCCTCTGGCCATAGTGGTTGTTGGAGTACCCTCTGGCCATAGTGGTTGTTGGAGTACCCTCTGGCCATAGTGGTTGTTGGAGTACCCTCTGGCCATAGTGGTTGTTGGAGTACCCTCTGGCCATAGTGGTTGTTGGAGTACCCTCTGGCCATAGTGGTTGTTGGAGTACCCTCTGGCCATAGTGGTTGTTGGAGTACCCTCTGGCCATAGTGGCTGTTGGAGTACCCTCTGGCCATAGTGGCTGTTGGAGTACCCTCTGGCCATAGTGGCTGTTGGAGTACCCTCTGGACACAGTGGCTGTTGGAGCCCCTGGCCATAGTGGCTGTTGGAGTACCCTCTGGCCATAGTGGTTGTTGGAGTACCCTCTGGCCACAGTGGATGTTGGAGTACCCTCTGGCCACAGTGGCTGTTGGAGTACCCTCTGGCCACAGTGGCTGTTGGAGTACCCTCTGGCCACAGTGGCTGTTGGAGTACCCTCTGGCCATAGTGGGTGTTGGAGTACCCTCTGGCCTTAGTGGTTGTTGGAGTACCCTCTGGCCATAGTGGCTGTTGGAGTACCCTCTGGCCACAGTGGCTGTTGGAGTACCCTCTGGCCACAGTGGCTGTTGGAGTACCCTCTGGCCATAGTGGCTGTTGGAGTACCCTCTGGCCATAGTGGCTGTTGTAGTACCCTCTGGCCATAGTGGTTGTTGGAGTACCCTCTGGCCATAGTGGCTGTTGGAGTACCCTCTGGCCACAGTGGCTGTTGGAGTACCCTCTGGCCATAGTGGCTGTTGGAGTACCCTCTGGCCATAGTGGCTGTTGGAGTACCCTCTGGCCATAGTAGCTGTTGGAGTACCCTCTGGCCACAGTGGCTTTTGGAGTACCCTCTGGCCATAGTGGCTGTTGGAGTACCCTCTGGCCATAGTGGCTGTTGGAGTACCCTCTGGCCATAGTGGCTGTTGGAGTACCCTCTGGCCATATTGTCTGTTGGAGCCCCTGGCCATAGTGGGTGCTCGGTCCACTAGCCATAGACACTTAACTTGTACACGCACGCACACACGCGCGCGCGCATGGACATATGCAGTGTGTGCGTGTAAGAACAGCAGTGAAGGAACGGGAGATCAAACTGAGAAAGGGGGAAAACAGATACAAAAAGAATGATAAGATGTTGACCAAACCCCACACTAGAAAGTGAACGGACGACGACGTTTCGGTCCGTCCTGGACCATTCTCCAGAAGTGAATTGTATATCACATATGTCAGTCCAATTCTGGAGTATGCAGCTCCACCCTGGAGTCCATACCTAGTTAAAGACACGACAAAGTTAAAGAAGATTCAGAGGCATGCCACAAGACTGGTCCCGGAACTGAGAAGTATAAGTTACGAGGAAAAGCTACGGGATTTAAACCTCACGTCCCTGAAAGACAGAAGAATTAAGGGGAGACAGATGATCACCATCTACAAAATTCTCAGAGGAATTGACAGGGGTAGATATAGATATACTATTTAGCACGGATGGAATACGAACGAGAGGACACAGGTGGAAACTGAGTAACCAAATGAGCCACAGAGACATTAGAAATAATTTTTAAGTGTCAGCTGTGCTGATAATTTCCAGGGCCTCTTTAGGCCATTATCACGACGAATTTCAATGTGCGTGTGTTGTTATATATATATATATATATATATATATATATATATATATATATATATATATATATATATATATATATATATATATATATATATATATATATATGCACGGCCAAGTTACTGGTCAGCAGTACTAAGTGTTGTCCCGTCTGGTGGGCGCATCACCACCTTCTCATCAAGTAGTTCCAGAGAGTGTTAGAATAGCTCTTATTTCCTTATTTATCTTGTTATAAAGTCTTAAGTGGCACAAGGAATGTAAACTGGTGGAGATATAACTTTTGTTTTTTTTCTGTCACAGACGTGGCCATACATTTTTACAATTGTAACCAAGACATATACATTTCCCTATGTCCTCCATGGACAGGGTTAGAGATCTGTGAGACATCATAGAGTGTAGTGAGTTACTGAGCACTTAAGCGCAGAAGGTGATCGAAGTGGTTTTACGATGCTGATCAGCTTACGTACAATATTTACAATTCCGTCAGTATTTCATAGACAGGGCAAGATATGTGTTCGCCTACACATGGTACAGTTGTTTACTGAGTACACAACCACACAATGTAATTGAGGCACATGAAGGTACATTACAATGAGAAAACTTTGTCAGAGAGTTTGATCCTGTTAGTGTACAAAGTAAATTAAAGGCACTCAGTATATTTCACCTAGAACCTTCTGTATTCTAACGCAGATGTAAACAGATAGTTGGATTCCGCACACCATACAAGCCAGGGCTCTCCCTAATTTCAAGTGTAACCTTATCAACGTCTACGACAAGCCTGCCAAGATTCAGAAGGAGATTAAGGGACAGGTAGATTGTAAACAAAAAAAATACCTGATGCACAAGCTGGAAGAGCAGGCTCAGATAACGAGGGGAGATACCGGACTGGACTAGAGGCTCTAATACAAGACAAAAAACTAAGATTTGTAGCCAGAAGAGCCAGGATGGACGGTAGGGACTAGAGAGGTCCCACAAGGCCCGACACTTGGACAACTAATGTTCCTGATTCATGTGAATGACCTTCCAGAGGAGGTAAGGGCCTTTGTGACAACGTTCGCAGAGAATACTAAGCTGAGGAGCAAGGTTAAGAGTGAACAGGTCTGCATAATACTACTGGAGGGCCTGGACAGGGTCCAGGAATCACTGGACAAATGGCTACTGGAGTTTAATACCTGAAAACATGTATGAATGAGTGTTGGGAGACGGAGAGGAGACACGGACACAGTACGAAAAAGGCAGTTGCAGATGTCCAGAAAGTCAAATAACTTGGTAGTGGATTCCACCAGTCTTCCCACCAGAGGCACACACAAACAGAATAGCATTATCTGCATATGCAAGACTAGCAAACATAAGAAGGTCTTTCAAGAACCTGGCTAAGGAATCCTTCAGAATATTATGCACAACGTATGTTGGACCAATCCAGAAATATGCAGCTCCAGCTAGTAACCCACACCTGCTGAAGCAAAGATGAGAATTTAAAAAGGCTTAATGATTCAAGAGAAACAGTTACCAGAGATACGAGAAATTAACAGTAATGAGAGGCTGAGAGAATTAACGCTAACTACATTGGACGAGAGAGAAGGACAAGAGGTAATATGATCACAACATACATGATACTGAAGGACATAGACAAAGTAGATATAGAGAGAGTCTTTCTCCAAGTGAGGGACAAGAGTATAGGTGGGAGGTGAAGACAGGTGAGTCAGAGCACTGTGCGGAAATACTGGCAAGCAGTGAAAGTTGTAAATAAGAGCCATGAGCTAGAGTCAGGCTGGTGGAAGCATGCAAGCACCGTTCACAGCTTCAAGAACATGCACGAATTCACCGTTCACAGCTTCAAGAGCACGCACGAATTCACCGTTCACAGCTTCAAGAGCACGCACGAATTCACCGTTCACAGCTTCAAGAGCACGCACGAATTCACCGTTCACAGCTTCAAGAGCAGGCACGAATTCACCGTTCACAGCTTCAAGAGCAGGCACGAATTCACCGTTCACAGCTTCAAGAGCAGGCACGAATTCACCGTTCACAGCTTCAAGAGCACGCACGAATTCACCGTTCACAGCTTCAAGAGCACGCACGAATTCACCGTTCACAGCTTCAAAAGCACGCACGAATTCACCGTTCACAGCTTCAAGAGCAAGGACGAATTCACCGTTCACAGCTTCAAGAGCACGCACGAATTCACCGTTCACAGCTTCAAAAGCACGCACGAATTCACCGTTCACAGCTTCAAGAGCAAGGACGAATTCACCGTTCACAGCTTCAAGAGCACGCACGAATTCACCGTTCACAGCTTCAAAAGCACGCACGAATTCACCGTTCACAGCTTCAAGAGCACGCACGAATTCACCGTTCACAGCTTCAACAGCACGCACGAATTGTGAACGTCGGGAGGCTTAATGCACCATATCTGTGAGCTCGGGCTTGAGAGCTGAAGCTCGCCACCTGTAGAACATAAGCGTGCGCAACTAGATAAGCACACGCACACAGGCGTATCCACGCACAGGTACGCAGGTGTACCTTTGCGTGGATACGCACGCGAGTGTGCACACTCTTCTCCCTCTACCACACACAATTCACGCATTTAGCTGTGTTGCGAATGATGGAAGATTAATATCTTGGGTCAAGAACAATTTGACAGAAAAATATAGATTGTGATAACTACATACAATATTTGTTTTAAATGAACGACAAATCAGGTACAGAAAACGACAAATCCGGAACAGAAAACGACAAATCAGGTACAGAAAACGACAAATCAGGTACAGAAAACGACAAATCAGGTACAGAAAACGACAAATCAGGTACATTAAACTACAAATCGGGTACAGAAAACGACAAATCAGGTACAGAAAACTACAAATCAGGTACAGATAACGACAAATCAGGTACAGAAAACTACAAATCAGGTACAGATAACGACAAATCAGGTACAGAAAACGACAAATCAGGTACAGAAAACGACAAATCAGGTACAGAAAACGACAAATCAGGTACATTAAACTACAAATCGGGTACAGAAAACGACAAATCGGGTACAGAAAACTACAAATCGGGTACAGAAAACGACAAATCGGGTACAGAAAACTACAAATCAGGTACAGATAACGACAAATCAGGTACAGAAAACGACAAATCAGGTACAGAAAACGACAAATCAGGTACAGAAAACGACAAATCAGGTACATAAAACTACAAATCGGGTACAGAAAACGACAAATCCGGTACAGAAAACGACAAATCAGGTACAGAAAGCGACAAATCAGGTACAGAAGAACTTATAAAAACTGAAACAAGTTGAACTGCAGTTCGCAGATGTACATTCGAGAGAGACAGAGAGAAAAAGAAAAGCTAAAAAGGTTAACAGGAAATACTTTTTCACCATTCGTGTTGTGGATCGCTGGATTAAACTCGAAGAAAACGTTGTGGTAAAATGATTGGAAGTTTAATATTTGATCAAATGCGCAAGAAACGTGGGACAGCATAAGCGAGGGGCTACCTGTAAGTACAAATAGGTAGCCACCCACCCACACACACACACACACACACACACACACACACACACACACACACACACACACACACACACACACACACACACACACACACACACACACACATGAAGGGATATGAAGTACGTCTGAGGGAACTGAACCTTACGACACTAGAGAAAAGAAGGGAGAGAGGAGATATGATAGGAACATATAAAATACTCAGAGGAATTGACAAAGTAGAAATAGATGAAATGTTCACACGTAATAATAACAGAACGAGGGGACATGGGCGGAAACTGGAAACTCAGATGAGTCACAGAGATGTTAGGAAGTTTTCTTTTAGCGTGAGAGTAGTGGAAAAATGGAATGCACTTGGGGAACAGGTTGTGGAAGCAAACTCTATTCATAGTTTTAAAATTAGGTATGATAGGGAAATGGGACAGGAGTCATTGCTGTAAACAACCGATGGCTGGAAAGGCGGGATCCAAGAGCCAATGCTTGATCCTGCAAGCACAAATAGGTGAGTACACACACACTACAGGCATTAAGTATGCCAAAACTAGAAGACAGAAGAAAAAGAGGTGATATGATCACTACATACAAAATAGTAACAGGAATTGATAAAATCGATAGGGAAGATTTCCTGAGACCTGGAACTTTAAGAACAAGAGGTCATAGATTTAAACTAGCTAAATACAGATGCCGAAGAAATATAAGAAAATTTACTTTCGCAAATAGAGTGGTAGACGGTTTGGAACAAGTTAGGTGAGAAGGTGGTGGAGGCCAAGACCGTCAGTAGTTTCAAAGCGTTATATGACAAAGAGTGCTGGGAAGACGGGACACCACGAGCGTAGCTCTCATCTTATAACTACACTTAGGTAATTACACTTAGGTAATTACACACACACACACACACACACACACACACACACAGTGATGTGGTGGAGGCTGACTCCATACACAGTTTCAAGTGTAGATATGACAGAGCCCGATAGGCTCAGGAATCTGTACACCTGTTGATTGACGGTTGAGAGGCGGGACCAAAGAGCCAGAGCTCAACCCCCGCAAACACAACTAGGTGAGAACTAGGTGAGTACACACACACACACACACACACACACACACACACACACACACACACACACACACACACACACACACACACACACACACACACACACACACACACACACACACACACACACACACACACACACACACACACACACACACACACACACACACACACACACACACACACACACACACACACACACACACACACACACACACACACACACACACACACACGCACACACACACACACACACACACACACACACACACACACACACACACACACACACACACACACACACACACACACACACACACACACACACACACACACACACACACACACACACACACACACACACACACACACACACACACACACACACACACACACACACACACACACACACACACACACACACACACCCACACACACACACACACACACACACACACACACACACACACACACACACACACACACACACACACACACACTAGTGCCTTTAAGAAATAAGCATTTATGTACCTACTGCTTTAAACACCTATGTCCTGTATATATTTTTACGTATTATTATTGTTATTGTTATTAATAATAATGGCATTATTAATAATATATTTGAACGTCATTGTGCAAAGAGAGTCGAGTTCAGGCTCCTGGACTCTGCCTCTTCAGTTGTCGATCGTCTAATGCAAACCCTCAGGGTTCTTGCCTTATTCTTGCTTGGTATTCGTCTTCAATATTTACACATCTAGTTCATCATATCGAAGATCCTTTCCTAGTTCATCATGCTTGTGGGTCAGCTTGTTCATCACGATTGTTCACCTTTCAGTTCCAATATACAAGACTGGTCGTTGAATTTAGTGGATTGAATTATGAGGAAATGTCGAGAGAACCATACAGTATTGTATTATCCTCTTGAACATTGCTTCCTGCTCTACTTTGGCATTGACACTATGGATCTTTAATGCCGTTATCATGTGCTCCCTAATCTCTCTCTCTCTCCTGCAGAACCGTAAGCTCAGTTCTCAAGGTCTTCCATCATTGCTTACTTCCCAAAGATCAAGAACGAGTCTTGTGTCATACTTCCCAGCCCCTCGGAACCGCTCTCTCAGCGCCAGCCCCTCTCCCAGCGTCAGCCCCACTCCCAGCGTCAGCCCCACTCCCAGCGTCAGCCCCACTCCAAGTACGCCAGCCCCGCTCCCAGCGCCAGCCCCACTCCAAGTACGCCAGCCCCGCTCCCAGCGCCAGCCCCACTCCAAGTACGCCAGCCCCGCTCCCAGCGCCAGCCCCACTCCAAGTACGCCAGCCCCGCTCCCAGCGCCAGCCCCACTCCAAGTACGCCAGCCCCACTCCAAGTACGCCAGCCCCGCTCCCAGCGCCAGCCCCACTCCAAGTACGCCAGCCCCACTCCCAGCGCCAGCCCCACTCCCAGCGCCAGCCCCACTCCAAGTACGCCAGCCCCGCTCCCAGCGCCATCTCTTCACTGACAATGACCTCAATGTGGTTTCGTAAGAGAACCTTAAGTAGGGTCTCTGAATATTAACTTACGCCTTCGTTAACTGCAGGAGTAAGCGAGGTGTATATCTTTGTTCCCTATCTACACTCAACTGTGCTTCCGTGCGCTGACCTTCAGCTCCTGGATCCCGCCTCCCAACCATCACTTGTCAGACGTAGTCTTTCAAACTCTTTGAGTTCTGTTAGGTGTATATTTGAAGCCGTGAATGTAGTCTTTAAAATCGTATATCGGGATTTTTTCCCCAACAATTCACCTTTTTTGGGTTCATTGTATTTCTTGACTTTATTTCTACCTACGATCCTTTCAGCGTTGCCCAACCATGTCAGTTGACAATGTCCCTTAGTATTTGTATGTCGTGATCATGTCTTCCACGTTCAATGACGTGAAATTTAGTTCATTTAGGATAAAGCCCACAATTCATTATATGCAACCCCCCCCCCCCCTGGAACTAGTCATATGGATATCTGTGCGGGACAGGAAGCCAGGGTGTATTCATACACTTTTGGCTTTTATGTGATGATGTCTTCTCTGGTTCTTCTCTATCCTAGTGCTGTTAACCTCAAGTCTCTCAGCACGTCCTCGTAGCTTAGTTACCTTGTATACGGAACCGGACATGTGGCGAATCTTCGATCCTTCTCAAGTTTCTTAAGTGTTTTAAAAGACAGGGCATACTGGGGCATAACCCCAGGGGGTGTACTGGGGCATAACCCCAGGGGGTGTACTGGGGCATAACCCCAGGGGGTGTACTGGGGCATAACCCCAGGGGGCATACTGGGGCATAACACCACGGGGGGGTGTACTGGGGCATAACACCAGGGGGGTGTACTGGGGCATAACACCAGGGGGGGTGTACTGGGGCATAACACCAGGGGGGGGTGTACTGGGGCATAACACCAGGGGGGTGTACTGGGGCATAACACCAGGGGGGGGTGTACTGCGGCATAACACCAGGGGGTGTATTGGGGCATAACACCAAGGGGGTGTACTGGGGCATAACACCAGGGGGGTGTACTGGGGCATAACACCAGGGGGGTGTACTGGGGCATAACACCAGGGGGGGGTGTACTGGGGCATAACACCAGGGGGGGTGTACTGGGGCATAACACCAGGGGGGGTGTACTGGGGCATAACACCTACGGAGCATACAGTAACATCCACTTGGAAAGTTTAGAGCACACAGTACGAATTACTTGGTTAGTGAAAATTGTTTTCCTGTCGGTTTAGTTCGAGGTTATTGGCGGAGGCGCCGGGCGGGTGTCGAGGCTTCCACGAGGTGGAGAAGCCTCATATGGGTGTGTGGGGGGGAAACCTTGAGCGGGTGTTGAAGCCTTGTTGGCAACCTGTCCTCTTAAAAAGAACGTCGCTTTTGGCCGTTTGCCCGTATGGCTGAATATGGACGTAATTTGAAAATGAAAAAAAAATGAAAATAGATTTGGGATTTTTTTTTTCCAACAAAAGTAAGTTAAGGGTCCTCTGATAGGTTAGGTGGCCAGGAAATTCTCATAAAGTTTCAAAACGTTATGAAAAACGTTAATTGAAAGCTTCCTCCTTTAACCTTACCGCGTAAGCCGGACGACTCAAACAGAAAACGGAACAGTACGTCACTTTTGTGAGTCGATTTCATTTTAAATTACGTCCAAATTTGGCCATAGTGCGCATACGAGCCAAAAGTGACGTTATTTTTAAGAGGACGGGTTGTGTTGGGGTGGGGGGGGGAAGCCTCAGGCAATTTTAATATCATTGTTAACTGCTTAATAGTTCCCGTCTACGGTAGTCGTGTCGGGAAGCTTACATCTTGTCAGTAGTAGTTATCCGTCTTGGGGGCCCTGGCCCGTCTGGCCCATGGAGGGCCCTCACCACGTCTGGCCCGTGGGGCCCCCACCACGTTCCATGGTTTTAATCAGGCCAGGACATACCCTCTGGTTGATCATGCAATTGCAACTCTGGCACAAAAGACGAGACAAAAACGTCGTAACTGGAGTGCAGAGTGAGGCGTGAAGGGTCTGGCGTTGATTGCTGCTTCACGGTGGTGCTCATCTAGTTGGGCTTGCAGGGAGTTGAGCTCTGGCTCTTTGGTCCCGCCTCAGACTTGAGGTGTA